TATTTAGATATTAGAACAAAAAATATTATTCTGTTATTTAAATATTTTTGGAATAAATAAAGATTTTAGAAAATTGCTGAAAGTAATATTAAAATTAAATTAAATTATCGAAATTTGATAAGTAAAGATTCTAGAAAATCACTGAAATCAATTGATTAGAAACTTAAATTTATCGTGCTATTTTATTGTTATGATATTTTGTCATGATTTCAACGTCATTCGAAGCTTCAGAATAAGCAACTTATTATCTCAGAAAAGTTATATCATCAAAATTGAAGTAACAAAGGAAAATATTGAGCGAAATTAATACATATTAATGAATTTAAATATTTAATAGCATTTCAGTTTAATAATTACAGATAAATAAATTATACCGATTTGCGCTCAATAATTTTTATTGAAAAATTAATTTTTAGTCCAAATATAATGATTTATTTTTATCTATTGTTCCATTTTACCACAGATGGATGCTATAACTATATTATTATAATATTATTACATATCGACTATAATTTCTTTATGTAGAAAGCTTCATAAATAAATCGAGGGTCTTGTTTTCGTAACGCCCTCGCATTATCAATCAATTTATGGCGTGATTTATACAGCCGACGGTCAGTTTCGCGAATTTACTACGTTAACATTGTTTCCATTGCAGTGCAAACTTGGTTAACAACAATGAACGTTCAAACGAATGCGATAGCGTGCGAGATGTTGAATTATGGCCGAAAGTTACGACGCGGCCAAGCGATAACTCGTGACGCGCGGACGGTTAAATCGCGGCTAAAATTCATTTCCGCAGTTTCCGTCGCAATGCGAGATACGCCGAGGTCGAACGCTCAAACACTTGGATTTTTTGCTGGATCTGGATACTTTTAACATTGTTTATCGCGGAAGCTCGCGCAAATAACAGAATTCAATGAGAAATCGCATTTTTTTAGAACGTTAATACAAATTGCCAATTAATCTCATGTTAATCGCCACAATTCATTTCTCACTTATTATTATCTATAATAATATGGGAAATGAAACCCGCCGGCTCGAGTGTAGCCTCGTTTCTTGCTGTCGAGAAAATGCGCTGACGCAAATGCAACCGATCTAGTAGCGTCGAAGGATGCACCTTGGTCGAAGAATGCACCGTCGAGCGCAGCTCGATGAGAACCGACTTGAACAAATCGACTCGCGTAAACAAATCGATTCAAGTCTATCGCTTCGCTTCAACTCGATGCTTAGCGAGCTAAAGAAGCTAAGAAACGTTGAGAATTTCCGGCGAGTCTTTGGGAAATTTTTTCTGCTGAAGAAAGAAATCCTAAACGTCTTGAAAATTTTTGAAAGATCCCAAATAAGAAGTCTACACGTCTGCGAAATTCTTCGAAACGCAGCTCGAGCTTTGGTCGCGATTGTCAAGAAAAAAGAGGGAGATTGTTGAGTCATTTCCGGTATATTAAGAGCAAGAGATGAGTGGCGCGATCCAAGTGCAAGATACAATGGTTTTACGGCGAAAAATCATTACGGGAGATAGAGTACTGCAGAGAGGAGATATGAAATCACGCTTGATGCATGTGAATACAGCAAAAGTCATCTAATCACCGATTAATCAGACGAAGTGCGCGGATAAGTCGCTCCTGAGAAACGATTTTACAGTTAGCTGTGCGCACAGAGTGTCTTGCAAATATATTTTTAGGATCAATTTCGAATCGAAGAATCCGCAGTGAAAAAAGTCTTTTTCGATAATAATTATTTTGAATCTCGATCGATAGTCTACAAAACCTTCAACATTAGCACTCCAATTTCTTTCTAATTATTTAAGTACTTTTTATTTCTCTCGTGACCTCATTATGTGTCCTCGTAAAAAAACCTCATTTCTTAAATTACAATAATTAATCACTATGAAAGTAAGGAGACGTCTGGAAGCTATTGACTGGTACGAAACTGTCTCGTTGCAACATACGCTCGCTTATCATCGGCTTATTAAGTTATTTGCGGATTTATCTCTCGGCAAGCATTTTATCCGTGATAGAGTGCTGCTATTTTTAAGGGGATAATCTAACGATTATACTGTTATAAATAGGGCTAATTACAACTGGATATAAGCTGCGATAACGAACACTGACTCGACAAAATGGTTGAAAAATTGCGAAGTTTTACTTGCAAAATTTCTTATTTTATATAATTCTGAATTATTATTATTAAAATTTCAACTTTACATTTAATCTTTGAACATGTAAAAAATGTTTAGATATGTTCAATTGTCGCGAAGATCTTAAGCTGCAAATGTGAGGCACTTTTTTATATTTGGTACAACACTGAAAATTCTGCTAATACATAAATAAGATAAGATTGTTGCTATTTTCGGTTTCGTTCTTTCTTAAAGTCTTCACTTTTATGTTTTATAAACTAAACATGGACGTTTAATATAATGCTCTTTGTAAAATCTTTGCAAATGTTTAATACATTCGCGCTGACTGAAATGAAATTCCACGAGTCCGTTGACGTCACGGCAGGTTTACGCGACGTGCGAGAAGACATTTCTCTATTCTTTTCACGAGTTTCTCGCGTCATCGCCGTCGGTCCTGACAACGCACGGATCACGGAAAAAAGAACTTCGCACGGCCGAATTGCGTAAGCTGAATTCTGCGTTCAAGTCATGTTACGACAATTTACATTATCACAACACTAATCAGCGCCGGCTTACAGCGAGAAGGGAAAGCCGAGGACAACTCTCGCGTCATCGCAATTTGATATCAATATCAGTTCAAGTTATATTAGGTTGAACAGAAATTTGAACAGAGAGAAATCTGAATACGTCTGAATTTAATACCTCATTAAACCTGTACATTTAACAGATCCAAGGATTGAACAATCGCTGCGTAAAACTGATCGATAATAATGCAATGATTAATTAGTGAGAAGTAATTAATGGCTTATAAAAACTAATAATGACAGTTAAGAAAATTGTTAAGAATGTCCGTCTACTAGCACGAAGATAATTAATTTTTTGCGGAATGTGTATATCTGAGAATATTTTTATTTCTTACATTTTTCTTGTTTTTTTACATAAAAGTCTGACGATAAAATATTTAAAAATTTACAAAAACAACCGAATATAATAAAAGAAGTCTAAACGACCTGTAAAGAAAGCTACATTCGAAAAATATAAAAAGATATGTGTGCTGTCGGAAGAATCTTCGAATGTTTAAGACAATTGATGACGTAACAAGATCTGAAAATATATTACAATGTCTTAAAACTTTCTTCGAATCTTGCAAAATCTTCACTACGCCTCTCGGATTTATATATCGCGAGGAACTTTGTAGATTTCGGAAAATTTGTAAAACACCGCCTAGCTGTATCCAATTGTTGTTGACAATTTATGAGAACGCGATGACACTAACGCGAAATTGACACATCGACCCATCATGACTGAATCTTTAGTGTTGATATCGTGACGTGATTCAAGCGACCGTGTCCTAGATCGTATAGTGAAGTGAGCGGCCGCCATCCTGCGCGCGTTCTCTTCCCCTCTATTTTACTCTTTTCATACTCTCTCCAAAGATAGAAGAAAACTTTAGCAAACCCCGAGATTAATTGTTCGATAAAACTAGGATTAAAGGATTAAATTAAATCGATGTTATGTTTATTTTATATGCATAATACATCGCAATCTTTTGTATAATGTTGGGAGGCCAAGGATAATCGATTCCTTTTAATGCCACACATTTTAGTTATTAAAACATTTAATACATGTTGTCCTTGCGTGCTGCAAGGAGACTTTTGCATTATTAACGAGTACGGCACGTGTCATCAAGCATCACCAATAATGCGAATACTTATGTAATGCATATTTTTATTCATTCAATAGCTCTGCTAGTTGTGCGATGTTTCCTGCAATTAACAAATTCCAATGTAAAAAATTAATACTGATCCAAAAGTAAAGCAATACAGCGAATTCTATTTTTCGATTCTCTGCACTTATTCGAATCGTCCGAAGCGTTTCACAGACAATCTCTGCCCGCTAAAATTGATGAAGTGTCTCGAGACTCAACTCTCTGTAAATACGTTGCTTAAATTCTCCGAAGTGTAATATTTCAACGCCATCATCCGCTAAAATCGATCAAACGCGCTGACATGTTTTGCAACGAGTTTATTCGTTGAGATTCATGAGGTGTCCTGAAAGCCACTCAGACTCCTCCACAACAGAAAAGACGTGTGGATTTCCCAAAATGTTCCGACGTGGGCCTTAAAAGCGAAACTTGGAATCTGCCAACGGCGTCAGCTGACAGCAACCTGTGCGTTGTTTGCGACAATGTCGTACACAACAAACTGGACAGCTTCCAAACTATCTGCGAACACACGGCACGTTGCCGTGACGTTCAGGATATTATGTTGATTCACGAAACCTGTGTGTTTTCACGATGCGCACAAGGCGCTCGCGCGAAATCTCCGCGAATCTTGATTTGCTTTGAAAAAAAGATATTCGCGTCTAGAAAACTGTTGTGTTATGAATTGGAGACGTTATGTTATTTTTTTTTATTATTAAAATAGTCCAGACAGAAGGCTTGTAACAAGATTGCACAAATTGGTGTTATTCAGCTGATTTTGCAAAGCGAAAGATGCCGTTCAGTGGCGCAGTTCCTTCAGCTGCAAGTGGAAGTCGAAGGTGGTTGAACTTGAAAGGACGACGGGTTCTTCTTGCTCCCCGTGGCGAGAAAAACCGGGGAAAAATGTAGCTCGGTCGTCGCTCGTTAAAGACTATCTTTCTCAAGTTAGCTCGATTTACTTTCGATCTTCGTTAACCTTGCAATCTATTCTTTTCATAAAACAATTCTCAAGTACTTAACAGATCGCTTGCGTTCCTTTCTGTATTAAAATAATAATAAACTAATTGCTGACGAAATTTAATGGTTCTCAAAACTTAAAAATGTCTGCGAATGTTGAATTCATCGGAGAAACGTGTCGCTCTCTTGTTTCGAAAGATCGCAAAAATCATTTCTTTGTTACAGATCCACCCAGCGGCGGTGTTTACATCATATGCGGAGTGCTGATCGCTATGGTGGTGGTCGGCGTCATCATCGTCCTCCTCGCCGTAACGATCAGGTGAGTACCATTTTATTTATGCATTACTCCCCGCAGATATTGACTGTGTCATTAATGATATCAAGTAGACAAGATCATTTGCTTTAGCGTAAGTGCAGTGGTACAGCCTCGTGAGTGATGTAAAATACTGCAAAAAAATACCGCATAAAAAGTAGTGACAACAGAGTGACGTCACCCTACAAATAATTGCGATTGCTACTTGAATTTGCATTGACAAATCGTGGCTGAGTAAAGAGCGACTGAATTCTCTTTCCTCCTCATTATTCTCTCTTTTTTCCCGCATTATTCCGGAAAAAAAAAATTGATAATAAATTTTTTTATCCATTCGCTACGTCTTTTACGCCCACGCAATTCATGCGCTGACTCGCGGCACCTCGTTAGTCGAATTCCGCGGAAAGCCCAACTACGCCACACAACTTATCTAGAATTTATGCGCCAGATTTCTCCGGTTGAGATATTGCGATATCAAATATAGAAGTACGAGAAGATTGACGTAAGCTTTGCGTACTTTTTCATGGCAGATGCATTGGGTATTTTATTTTCAACGTTGTTAAAAGTTCTTAATTACACGCGATAAATTAAGTACAAAATGCAATCTCAAATAATTTCGTTCATTAGTGTAATCGAATTCGCTTGAAATTATTTAAATTCTTATTTGTTTGTTACACAAATCTATTAATCACAGTCAAACAATCCTCCGATCCCAATTTAACACCTTAAAAATATTTTTTTGCGTCCAATATTTTCGTGCAATGCAAACTGTGTAGAAATAAGTATGTTAAAGAGAAAGAGATGAAGAAAAAAGAAAGAGAGGAAAGAAGAGAAAGACGATATGGACGAGAAGAAATAAAAAAAATAAGAACTCGAAACCTGAGACGTCTGTCTGTCCGTCCGTTTGGCAGTAGTGTCGCGTGGCGTCGGGACGCGTGGCTGAAAACAGCACGCATACGGCTGACGTGCGCATACAAGTGCGGACGAAAATAGAGATAAAGGCAACGCTCGTGGCGCTCACAGTTTCCCTTTCGGATATTTCTTCCTAGAAAATCGTCGCCATCACGAGACATCGTCGAGACGTTTGTCTCTCGTCATTTGTAATAGTTGATTAGTAGATCAAAACGCAGTCCTTTCTTTCGAGACGAAAGAAAGAATTCGTCCCTCAATCAGTTCTATGCAGAATCACAATCAGAATCTTCCGTGACAATAACTTTCAGTCTTTAACCCTTTCATCTCTAAATTATTTAAAAACTATGTGCAAAAAATATATTTGTTCATTCATTTTTGTGCGAATTACATGAACAACAGATTCAGAACAACATGTTGACATTTTTAAAACGTTTGAGGATTTTTTTTATTATCGTAATCATTTTTTTCGTATTATTTTTATTGCATTGCAAAGTTATTATGCAGAATAAAAACTTTTTTTATCGTCGATCAGAGTAAATCCATCTAAAAAATTTCAAGGAAGCTTAATCTTTAAGTTCTTATTATATTCTTATAAGAAGTCTTATCGCTGAATCGTAATGACGAAAGATGAAAGATGATAATACTCTAATATTTTACCGAGAAATTTTTAAATACATTATTAAGTACAATATTTAATACAATATTAAGATAGAGCATTTATACAAGTTTTATCTCTTTGCAAATCATCGAAACGCGTCGTTATCGATAGCTCGACCTTGTTTAGCAATTGACAAGTGAAAAAAAAATCGAATGATCTACAATCATGAACCATCGCTGCATCCGTAAACATGGTTTTTGTCGTTCGAGCAGCGGCGACAATAGTAAAACAGCAGATAATCATCACTTCGACGGAAACGAGAAGCCTGATTGTAAGTTTCCGCGCGTCGCGCGGGATTTCTCCACCGTTCGTTGTTTGGTGCTAAATCCGGTAATCGCCGTGATTCATTCGTTATCGCGTGTTAGAGACGCCGATAACCGATTAATAGATCCCCGTATCTGCATCTCGACAGTCGGTGAAAATCCATCTTGGAGAAACCGGTTCTAAGAATTGGTATCTCCTATCTGTGCTGTCACGAACGAGAATAGATTCTGAATATGAGTAAAGATTAATCACGGGTGAGATTAATAAACTTCCTTCCTATTTTCGTGACTCTCTTGATCTCTCGGATTTAATATAATATCTGCAGAAGAGATTAAAAGTTTTGTTTTTTTTATATATTTTCTCCATTTTACTTCATTAAAATAAATTCTATTACTGAGGTTTAAATTATTATATTTTTTTTCTTTTATTTTACTTCTCTCTCTCTCTCTCTCTCTCTCTCTCTCTCTCGACGTTCTTTGTTTAATGTAATTTAATTCGAGAAATTCTGCAAAACAGCGTCTACACGAGAATGCATAATTCAAAGTTAAGGACTTTGCTATTATTGCTGGATCAGCATAAACTTTGCGCGTATGTAATGCAGAGAAGCTTTGTGTATGTATTATGTGGAGTAATAAAGGAGTCGCGTGTGTTATACACAGCCGCTGCAAGTTGCATAATCGCGTCAATACAGCCTCTTCTAAATTATTATTTACCATCTGATAAACTTTGTACAACTTAACAAAAAGTTCCTTCTTCCTTTCGCGATTGTTCCACGTCTTGCTGCTTGATTTCTTTGAATTCGGAACTTGATTTAAATTTGGCACGGCATTTTTATCTGAATTAACGTAATTCAACTCTTTTTAACATTTTGATGCAACTGATTATAATTTAATTTTATTTCCTTCTCCATTTTGTTAATTAAATTTAATTCAATTCAAGTGGACGGAATTTTAATTTGGTCGGTTTAATTAAAATTTATTTAATGATGCAAATAAAACTCAACATAGCTGTCTCATCTTGTTACATAATGAAATAAAAGATAAATGAAAAAAAAACGAGCTACAATATGCATATATGTACATATTCTACATGAAATAAAATTTTAATTAAGCTAAATTAATTAAAAGTAGTTTCAATCTGACTTTATTTTATTTCTGTAATATAATTGAAGAGTAGAGTTCCTAGAAACATTAAATAAACATTAAATAATCAACATAGAATGCGATTTTCATTAAAGTAATCCATTAAATACATTAAAACTTGCATTGATATCTCAATTTTTTAAATATAAAACTAACGAAATAAATGTCATGCAATATACAAATACATATCGTTGTAAAAGGGGAAAATCATTTTGTTTTACTTTTAAAAATATGATGAGAAAGAGACAGAGAGAGAGAGAGAGAGAGTGATTGAATGCCAAATACGTTTTGCTAACTTTATCATAATATATCACAATATAATATACAATAGTATAAAGGAAAATACTTAATAAAAGCGACGCGTTACGACAGCGAAACGAGAGGCCACGGCCACCGTCGCCACGTTGTATCGGTTACGCGTTGCAGTTAAGTGACATAAAGGCACAAGTCTGCCCGTCGGCCTTCCGGCGCGGTTGGCGCGACACTGTGACGAAACGCACCAAGGGGGACGGCAACGGGGCAAGAGAGCAGGCACTGTGTACCGTTTTAAATTTGACCGCGGTGGCGATTGGCCGCTTGATACAACGCGCGCCAATCGCGACCGCGTTCGATCGTGATGTCACGCGGCGATATAAGAGACGGACACGCGTCGTTCTTCAGTTCAGATGCGCGTTGGCTCGAGCGATGAGCGAACGGTGGTTTGTCAGATCACGTCGGCCGCGGTCCTTCGATGAGAAACGACGCCGTTCCTTTGAATGCTCTCGTGTCCACGTGCGCGCGATAGGAGAAATCGTGAGGAAGAGCAATTCTTCTGGACGATCGGAGAGTGCCAAAAAAAAGTCCCCGAAGCTAGTCAGTGCGAGTATCGCATGAGTGTAAATAGTGACATCCTTGCCGTGGGAGACGAGCGGAAGGACGAGAAAGAGGGCGTTGGAAGTGTGCGTTTGTAAAGTTCGACGGAGAGTGAGAAGACGGAAGTAGGATGCATGTAACGGAGACAGTAGGAGAGTAACCTAGAAAAAGGCTGACGCATTCTTAACACTCTAATGGATTGAGAGGGAAAGGGAGAGGAGGAAACACAGACCTCGCCGCTTAGAGAGTACGTATTCGTCTACGACAGACGCGTATGAATGCGAGATTTTCGCGAACAAAAGGGAAAATCGTAAGGCGTTCCTTAAAAAAAAAAAAAA